GTCTTCTGAGCTTTGTGCCAAATAAGGTGGGTGTAATTTTCAGGGTGGATAAAACTGAATGGGGGGCAGGGGGAGAAAAATATTTTTTATTTAAATTGGATTTTTTTATTTTTATATTTAAATTATTTCTTTTTAAAAATAAACCTATTTAAAATTAAATCAATGTACAACAAATTAAGGCCTAAATCTCTCAACATTTAAATAAAAACTAAATATGCTGAATCCATGAGTCTCTAAAAACCCTCTGAATTAGAGTTACAGGGACTGTTTTTCTATATAAAGAATCAGGGGGAAAACATCTAATTTTTGAGATCAAGCTTTATAAATATGGCACGATATGTATGTACTGTATTAAGGGCTCGATCGTGTGGGGCAGCCAGGAGTTGTGCTACTGGGTGCAACAGGCTGGCAAAGTTATCATAGGGAGCCGGCCTCTGACTCTAGGAAACACCATCATGTATCTCATCAGGACCATCCACTGACCCCACCTGGGTGGTTTCATACTCCTGTTTTATAGCTTCTTTCTACCTCAGCTGTGATTGACTCAGTTGTCAAATTATGATTATTTATGACTCCACCCACCATGAAAACTTACTCTGCTGCTCATGGAAAAACACTGAAGTTTATGTATGCAAAACGTTTAGGGGTGTTTTAATAAATTGTATATGTTGCTTTATGTGTTTAATTAAATTCCAATTACCATCCTAATGCAGATTGAGACAAATCATTCACCATTTTCTAATATACTAAAAATGTACAATTAAGAATCTGAAAATATTAAGTTATATAATTGCTTAAATAAATGTATATAGTGCGGTATTCTCTAACTCGGTGGTTTTCAAACATTTTTGTGGAGACCCAGTTGAAGAAAATTGTTGATGTCTGCAACCCAACAGAGCTGGGGGTGAGGGGTTTGGGATGTGGGAGGGGCTCAGGCAGAGGGTTGGGGTGAGGGCTGCGGGGTGGGGCTGGGAATGACAGGTTCAGGGTGTGGGAGGTGGCTCTGGGCTGGGGCAGGGGGTTGGGGTGTGGGAGGGGGTCAGGGCTCTGGGTGCAGGAGGGGGTCAGGGCTGGGGCCAGGGATGAGAGGTTTGGGGTGCAGGAGGGGGTTCTGGGTTTGGGGGGCTCAGGACAGGGGCTGGGGTGTGGGAGGGGATCAGGGCTCTGGGCTGGGGTGGGACCAGGGATGAGGAGTCCGGGTGCAGGAAGGGGCTCCGGGTTTGGGGGGGCTCAAGGGGGCAGGGCACAGGGTTACTTTGGGTGGCTCCCGGTCAGCAGCAGTGATAAGGCAGGCTTCCAAGAAGCAGCCAGCAGCAGGTCTGGCTCCTAGGCAGAGGCGCGCGCGGCTCTCGCCCACAGGCACTGTCCCCCCCCCCCCAGTGCAGAGCCGGTGCTCGGGCAGGAGCAGCGCGCGGAACCCCATGGCCCCCTTGCCTAGGAGCCAGACCTGCAGCTGGCCCTTCTGGGACGCAGCATGCTGTCAGAACAGGTAGAGACTAGCCTGCCTTACCCAGGCAGCACTGCCAACGGGACTTTTAATAGCCCGGTCGGCGGTGCTGACCAGAGCAGCCACGACCCAGTGCCTTACATTCCATGATCCAGTACTGGGTCGAGACCTGCAGTCTGAAAACCATTGCTCTAACTAGATAGCAAAAAAATTTAACAAGTCGAATGTAAAAACTATTTAGTTGTAAATCAACATGTTTTAATGGTTATATCAACCAATGAGAATGCATCTTTCTTTAGAAAATAACTGAAGTACAAATGGAAAAGCTGATTAAAAATCAATGATTTAAAACACTGATTTAAATTGCTTTAATTTAAATAATTTTCATTTAAATCTGCAGTACTTCATTATAACAACCTTTTCATTTCCATGGAATTGATAATTTTGTGTTTAGCATTTTCTTTTTAAAATCAAATACAAGGTTATTAAAATATAATTCCAAGCATCCAGTACTTAAGTCTTCTTGAAAAGGAAATGTCTGAAGAGAGTTCAATTTAATTTGGATTGCAAGATGCTGCAGACAGGAAACCTTGACTTGTTATATGTTTCTAATGTTCAAGACCCACATTTAGTGTCATTTTAAAATAACTTTTCTCTCAGAAAAAGGAGCATTTACAAAGGAGGGAACAAGTTATTTGTTTCTGGACTTCAGAAACTTCTGACATAGTCCAGATACAATTAAAGATTTATTGTTTCCCTCCAAGTAATTCCCCATGTTCACCATTGAGAACACTAAAGATACTACAAGATAAATATGAATAAGTGACTGTAAGAGTAAAAAAGATAGAGGGTTTGGGGTAATAGTTAAGGTTGAGTTTAGGTTTGAAGTAAGTACTCCAACATTATCACCTGGCAGCAAATCCGTCAAAACAGATCAGTCTAATTCTAGATCTTTATATCAGACAGATCATGAACTTGATCATGAAGCAAAATAATCGCCTTTGAGAAGCAATACCTCAAGGTGCAGTTAGATTTAGGCAGTGGCACAAAATGGAAATTCCGGAGTCAGAAATCTATGCAACATAGTTAGGCAGAGGTCAATTTTTATTTTTTGAAAATTTCAATAATTATAGATTTAAAGCTTTTTTTGAATGTTCATCAATTTAAATTTTCATAATTGCAGAAAATTATGAGAGATGGGGTCAGACAATAGTTATTTATTGACAGATACTGAGATTCAGAAAGTTAAAGCTGTTAAACTTTAAACCTGTAAAAACACAAACTGTCAACATCACACCAAAAATATACAAAGTAAATATCCTCAAATCAAACCCCAATAATTTCTCAAACAGCGTTTCCCCTACATTGCCTATCTGTAAATTTCAATTATTATTGAGGGAAATATTTTTTGTTGGTTTGTGTTTATATGCTGAAATCAATGTTTGACATTTACTGATAAAATCTAATTCTTCCAACCCTAAACATAATAGATAAAAGATAGAGGGTTTGGGGTAATAAGTAAAAAATGAAATTTGACTATTTTAACTATGTTCTCTCAGAACTAGAATTTATCCACATTTAAACACTGTAACAAAGTTTCAATAGCAATTCTTCATGTAACTAACTGCTCACACACACACACACACACACACACACACACACACAAAACTGTTTTAAACTACAATTTTGCAATTGTATACCAAGCTAATGGGGCACATGCCAAACGGCAAATTATTGCGAAATGGGACTGGTTCCATGGAACACTGTAAAGGAAAATACTCAGCTCAGATGACTGATTTCTCAAACTGTACCATCAATTTTGTAAGGACTCTTCCTTCTCATTTTATTTGGACTAGCATAATACATGTTTTGGAATAAAAGGTGATTCTGCTTTATATTACCCATATTTACTGGAGATACAGGAAAAGACATTATAATAGGGCCACATTACACAGTGAAGTCCAGTACCTTGCTTACTCTGGTTTATATTTTAAAAGCAGCCTCATTGTATTATCTCAGGTCTCAATTTCTGTGGCACTTAATTATCGTTACTCAAATTTTAGTATCTGATAACTCACACATAAAACAAAAAATAACCAAAAATCCAAAGAACAAATAAATGATCACCTATACAAAACTGCCTCTAATTTCAAAGAATATTTTACTGGTTTTGTTTACTACAGTCTGAGATTGTGAAGAATGCTACTGCAAGTCAACTGGGTTAAAACAGCCCAAATTAATAAATGCAGAATAAGTCTGCCAGCCATTATTGAAACAGATGAGCCCCCCCGTCCCCAATGAGACGCAGCTAAAACAAACAGAGAAAAACACACCCACAGCACAGACAAACACAGCCAAGTATAAAACAGAACAATGAATTTCATAGGCAAGACAAACACCATTTTAAATGGCCCTTTTGTGCATCTGTTTTGCATTTATCTGAGTTATATGATGTTATGTATTATTCATGTATTGCTTCACTGTATTAACACACAAAATGAGTTCCTTCCAGTATTTAAATTTCTTTGATTTCTTCTATTAATCTGAATATCAAAACATAGTTTTGTGTCTCAAAACTTTTGTGTATCCGACACTTCGCCTGTTAGCATTTTTTATAAAGCAAAATTACATCTGGGAAGCATAGGATAGCAGGTGGCAGGCAAACTATAATACACTCCTCTCGCTTTCTAGCCCCTACCCGTGAGAATACTGGAACAGCTTGCTGCAAGGCAAGAGTTGCAACGGGGATTTCCGCCCCTGATGTTGGGATAACCAGGCGGCAGCACTGTGACATAACATCACAAGTAAGAATGACTTACTTCCCAATAAGTAAAATGTTTACAGACAAGTTGAAATCCAAAGAGATACATAGCTTAGCCATTTTAAAAAAATATAAAACTTAGAAAGGGGAAAAGGCCTATCTACCACAGAAGGCCTGGCTCTACCATAGATTTAGAGCAGCAAAAATCCATTCCCCAGGTACAAGCACTGTGCATCACTGTGTATCTAGACGTAGCATTTTTATAAATTAGCAACTGTCAAGACGTTATGGGGAGGAGAGTGGCCTGTAGTGTATACGAAAGACAGCAACACATTTTAAAACCAGCAATTAAGTTTGAAAATAAAAATAAAGGCGAGTGATGTCCCCAGAACTTACAACCCCTGCCCTCCCTCCAAAGGATTGCCCCTAGGCGTGAACTGAAAATCAAGGGAGACTTTTGCTCACCTTAACACATCGCTGGCTTCATCTATCGCTTTTCTAGTCTTCGCGCAGGGACATGCGTCCCCAGCGGCTTTCCGACTAACCACTGTCTGAAACCTCCCCGAGGGGCTCTCTCCCCCCACGCCCCTACGGAGCCCCCCAGCCAAGCACTCGCCCCAGGCAGATCGCTACTAAGGCCTGGTTTCCCGGTGACCAGGGCCTCTGCAGCAAAACAAGCCCCCCAGCTCCCCGCCACACCCCTTGCCTTGTCCGGCCACGCTGGCTGCAAGGGCCAGCGCCCCCCGCGCACAGCCCCGGGGCGCCCCACGGCCTAGGGCTCACGGCACCTACCTGCGGCAGGGGGCTCGGGCAGGCTCAGCACCAGCAGGCAGAGGAGCAGCGCGGCGCCGAGGCGCGGCATGGCCGAGGTCGGGGCGCTGTTGTTGACCGGGGAGTGGGTGGGCTCTGCTCACACTGCGCTGGCTCCGAGCCCGGGCGGGTCACTGCTCGGCCGCTGCTGCTCCGGGATCTATGTGCAGCGCCTGGGACCCACCTCTTCCCGGAGCTCCGGCCCGACCCACATGTGGGGCGGGGCGGGGCGACAGCCAGCAGTGCCCCCTGGCAGGGAGGAGCCGCGCAGAGCCCGCGGCGGGATAGGGGAGCGGGCCCCGGGGCGGCTCGGCCCAGCGCCTCCTTGGCAAAGCCGGGGACCCCCGCGCGGGCTGCTCAGACGCCGCCGGCGGCGCGGCGTGGGGCCCCGGGCTGGGGCGCGGGGAGCGGGGCGCTGAAGGGCTCCCGCCCCCGACTGTGACGCGGCTGCGGAGCCCCGGCGGCTGGGCCGGACCGGGCTGTTCCAGCGGAGGCTGCTGCGTGCCCGCCCCTGCCCTTCGCCTAATAACCCTGCGGGCGGGCACAAGCCGCGCCCCCGGAGCCCAGCGCGGGTCCCTGCTGCACAACAGCCCCCTTCTCCCCCGGCCTGTGGTGGCCGAGAGAAGCCGCGGCCTTGCGGTACTTCCTGGTGCGCCAGCTACCGCAGCCCTCGCCCTCAGCCCAGCCGCAGGAGGGGGTGGGACTGGGACACACCCAGCTTGCCGGGCTGGGCCACTCACACTCACCGAGAGTGCTGAGCCCTTTGGGGAAATGACCCTGGCCGCCAGGAAGAGCACCAAGGCCTCCTGCAGCTTTTTTGCCCCGTTATTTGTTTGCTAATTGTGGTTGCAGTTCTCCCGGAGGGCACGTGTAACCCTAAAATTAACCCTCTTCCTGGTTTACAGAGACCCCCAGCCAAACTCCAGCTCGTAAGGCCCAGGCTCCCAGCCAGCGCACTAGACTCCATTGCCTCGCCTTTAATTAAACAATAAAAATGTGTGAGTGAATTTTGCTCAGTTTACAGGAAAGTTCAGCTTTAGACTAAAACCAACCATGGAGAAGTATAGTATGAGCATGTGAAAGCAGGTGGTGATAGAATACAAGTCTGAATAGTAAGTTCAATAAAAAAATAGTGTTTATAGGGTATTGTTTTAAATTATAGCACCATGTAAGATGAGAAAATATATAATGGATGAAGAATAAAATTGTAAGCCCCAATCCCATAATAAGCAGATCCAGTTCTGTGGATGATATCCCTGTGGCATGCAAAAACCCCTTACAGGTCTACCTTAGGTAGGGGTAGATTTTTTCCTTTAAACTGGCAGAAAACCAAACTTTTGAACAATCTGGAATGCTCTAAATGAACCTGATTTAATAGAAGCAGTACTAATGAGGGGACCAAAAGTGCCAACTACATGCAATGTATTTAGTAGTTCTATAGTTATTCTATGGTTTGAGAAATAAAGACACACATGCTCTGGTTATCATGACCACACGTGGTATAAGCTTACAGAGGAGTGTGCAGTATTGTGTATAGATTTGTGGTTTTAAGTGAGAAAATCTTGCATCAGGTGGTTAAAAAGTCGCTTTGCTTTCACTTGTTGCATCTGGCACACTGCAAACACGTGGTTATATTCTAACCACACACCTTCACTAATGTTATTGATTACACAACAACAGTAAACAAGGGTGCTGGAACAATTTTTATAATGGGGGTGTTAAAAGCCACCCTCACACCCCTAGTTCCAGCACCTATGATAGTAAATTTATACAAACCCTGGGTAATTTTGAAAACCAGAGTTCCTCCCAACTCAGATACTATATTGATAATTGTAATAGAAATAACAATTATCAAAAAATAAATTCACAGGGCAGGAATCTGTCTTTTGCAGCCTTAATGTACTTCTAGCATCTTCATCAACTTTAATAAAACCCACTTAGGCTGCACAGGTCAGATTTATAGGTACATCCATTGAGTAGAGGCATAATGCTCTTCAGAATAAACACCAACAATAATAGTGAATAATAGGCATTGCTTGATTAAGAGGAAAAAAACAAGGTTTTGCTGAGACACAAGTCTATCTGTCTATAGTTAATTAACTTATATGGCTCTCACCATTCACCTTCAATGGTCCCTTGAAATATGTGCTAACTACTTATGCTAAACAATCTGTTTCACCTTGTATTTAGCTGTGACACTGAGGGCTTGTCTTCATGTACAGTGCGCCAGCTGTGCCGCTGTAGCACTTTAGTGAAGACGCTACTACACTGATGGGAGAACTTCGCCTGGCAGCATAGTTAATCCACTTCCCCAGGAGACAGGAGCTATGTCGATTGGAGAAGCTCTCCCGTTGACATAGTGCTGTCTACACGGGGGTTAGGTCAGTATAACTACGTTACTCGGCGTGTGGATTTTTCACATTTTTGAGCAACCTATTATACCGATATAGGTCTGTAGTGTAGACCTGGACTGAGTACACTTCCCAGATGTGAAGAAGAGCTCTGTGTGAGCTGAAAAGCTTGAAAAACAGAAGTTGGGCCAGTAAAAGATATTACCTCACCCATCCCCTCTCTCTCTAATATCCTGGGACCAACATGACTGCAACAACACTGTATTCATTAATATTAAATGATAGTCATGTGACTAAATACACAGACAGTACCATGAAATGTTTTGCCTGCTTCCCCTGTCTGCTCTAAACTCCCAATGAACAGTAACATAGGATCAAATGCAGCAGCAGCACCACCACGAGCAAACACAACACTGACTTCAGTAAGAGTTGCAACTGCTTAGAAATTTGATAGGCTCTAGTACCTCATGGGTAAACAATCAGCATGTATTTATAAAGAAAATATATTTGTAGGCATGACACTCCTGTTCTTACTACAAAAAGGACCCCATCTCTCTGAATCTACGTAGTCGGAGGGCATAGAAGCAAACACCACACAACAGATGTACAAGTAATGACAAGAGCACAGCAGCCAAATTAACAGAGAGTATCCTGACCACTGGGCAAGAATAACCTAGAGGTGCTCTCATTTTACTGAAACAGCATTGCTCTCTCTACACTAATAGAAAGCTGAGCCAGTTTTGAAAGCTATGTCCCAGTGTTGGGGATGCAACTTTTAAAGCTGACAGTGTACTAACACTGCACTTCAAGGAGCCATTTTAGAGGATGCACTATAGTTTTTGGAGGGATAATAAACTGTGCTATCAGAACTATGGGCTCAGTCCTGGAGGGTACAGAGTTTCCTAAACTGTCGTTGGCTTCAATGAGAATTTAGCATATACAACACCTCATAGGATCAGGCTCCATGTTTGCCCCCACCCTCCCATCAGAACTTGAATCAAATTCTGGAACAGGCTAATTAAAAGTTTTCAAATTTGATTCATAATTATGCAAGACTTGCTAAATTCTGTGTTCACTTTTTAATCTTTTAAAATAGTTGTTGGTATTTGAAGCTAACATTTTATCTGGTGAAAGAAAACTTTAAAACATATTAGTGAAACAGTTACAATTTTTTTTTTAACTATGATAATAATCTTGATAGTGTCTCTTTAAATGTAGTCCTTTGGAACTACAAAACCCCATATAGGACTATGATGTATCAATACCTTCTCAGAACAAGAAACTGAGGATTTAAAAAAAAATAAAAATAAAATAAAAGACCAATTCAAGAACACCAGAAAACCCAGTGCAAGTTACCAAATGAAATATAGCCCTGGCCAATAAGTGTCAGAGTTCCAACAATAGGAAACAGAATGATGAGCATAGAAGGACAGTTTTCTGGCTAAGGCACTGGACTGGAACTCAGGAGAACTGGGTTCAATTTGTGTGTGACCTGGACTGAACTTCTCTACATTTCAGTTCTGTAAAAAAGGGGATGAGAATCCTTCCTGTCTCCCACCCTTTGTCTGTCCTGTCTATTTAGATAATAAGATCTTTAGGGCAGTGATTGTCTCTTACAGTGTGTTTGTGTAGTGCCTACCACAATGAGGCCTCCATCTCAGTTGAAACCTTTAGGCATTACTATCCTACAAATAATAATGATAATGGTTAGAGAGCTCCAGTTTTGTTATGTTATGTTCTTATGAGATTAAATACAGCAAGACAGTACAAAGCAAGTGCTGAAGAGTCATCAGCAAGCTCATCAGGAGGATGCTAGGGAAGATGACAGGGATGAGAACCACTCCATGATGTAGTGCAGCTGCCTTGAAAGATGCAGGATTTCCTCTGTGCTATGTCTCCCCAAAGCATTTTGTCTGACCTCTTCTTGAACCCTTCTAAGAAGAGTGACTCATCTATCTTCTTTGGTAATTCATATCTAAATAAACTTATCTTTTCAGTTTCTTAATGCAAACTTACATCTGTTCAGCTTACGGTTCTTAAAAAACTCCGTTGAACTTCTGAGTCAAGAAGTTGATCTTCAACAAGCTGGTGAGCCAGTTTTGCATCAATTATAGATGATCACTTCCTTAATCAACTGATTTCTATCTTTCAAGGAAGATACAAGTATAAAAACAAATATGGTCGTGTGCACAACTATAGAAGCAGGGACTGACCAGTCCTTGATGAATTGTACAGAGTAAGTATCAGAGGGTAGCAAGGGCTCATTCACCTGCACGTCTACTAATGTTATATATGCCATCATGTGCCAGCAATGCCCCTCTGCTATGTACATTGGCCAAACCGGACTGTCCCTACGTAAAAGAATAAATGGACACAAATCGAACATCAGGAATGGTAACATACAAAAGCCAGTAGGTGAACACTTCAACCTCCATGGACATTCTATAACAGATTTAAAAGTAACTACACCTCTACCTCGATATAACGCTGTCCTCGGGAGCCAAAAAATCTTACCGCGTTATAGGTGAAACTGCGTTATATCGAACTTGCTTTGATCCACCGGAGTGCGCAGCCCCGCCCCCCCAGAGGACTGCTTTACCGCGTTATATCCGAATTTGTGTTATGGGTCACGTTATATCGGGGTAGAGGTGTATTCTTGAACAAAAAAACTTCAGAAACAGACCTCAAAGAGAAACAGCAGAACTAAAATTCATTTGCAAATTTAACACCATTAATTTGGGCTTGAATAGGAACTGGGAGTGGCTGGCTTATTACAAAAGCAGCTTTGCCTCTCCTGTAATTGACACCTCCTCATCTATTATTGGGAGTGGACTACATCCACCC